TTCTATTTCTATTCCTATTCATTCCTATTCCATATTCTATCCTATCCTATCCTATCTCATCCCATCCCACTCCACTCCACTCTATTCTGTTAAATTCATTCTGTTCTGTTTCGTTCTGTTACTCCATTCCATTCTAAAACCCAGCTCTCGTTCTGTCTCCTCCTCCTCCAGGAGGCATGAGGCCTAACACCATCGCGCTGGGCTTCTACGACCACCCACCTCCGCTCGACAACGTGTCCCAGCCCACCGCTTTCAGCAGAGACGAGGCCATTTGGCACGACTTCCCTTCCGTCTGGACCTCGGGAGGCCCCAAGCAACTGTCTTCCCGGGAGTACGTGGCCATCATCTGCGATGCCATGAAGATGTCGCGCAACGTCCTTCTGGCCCGCTACTTCGACCAGCTCCAGCTGCCTCAGTCCATCGGCTGGCGAGCCCAGCCCCTCATCGACGTCTGGCCCATCAACCTTTTGCGCCCCGACAGCGCCCGCTACGTCGACACCAGCAGCCTCTTCCTGTTGCAGATGGGCTGCGTCCTGGCCATGACCCGGTCGTGGCGACGGGCTCAATTGCGCCTCTTCCTGTGCGTGCAGAGTTGCACCAGCCGCCAGGGGCAGGAGGACAAGCTCCGGCAGCTTCTGAAGGACCTGCGCATCCGGGCGAAGGTCCAACTGGTGCTGTGGGACGACGTGGTGGCTCTCCATTGGCACAGCCGCCAGGAAGACTCGGCGGACGGCGCCCTCAATGCCTCCAGCAACATCACGTCCATCTCCAACGAGTATTTGACTGCGGTTAACCAGCTGATTCTCCAGCAGAGTTCCACCCCAACTGTCCGCTTCCTTTACCTGCCCCGTCCTCCCGCGGACACTAATTTATACCCCAGGTATTTGGAACAGCTGGAGATCCTGACCCGCGGACTGGGCCCCACGCTGCTTGTCCATGGGGTGAGCGCCGTTACGAGCACTCAGCTGTAAAGCAGGGCTGTCGGTTGTCCACTGTGGGCAAGGGCTGGTGGTTGATGGAACACCAGGCCGTCAAGGATGGCCCTCAAGGATCGCGGTGAAGGGGAGCCGAAGATCAACCAGCAATGTTCTTGGCTGGAGTTGGGGTTCCACATCTCCCCCACCCTTTTCGTCCCAGACTGGGCTGTTGCGACGCCTGCCAACGACAACTGGGCAACAGGGTTAGGGCCCGGCTCAGTGTTCCTAGCCGAGTGCTTCCATCCAGCGGGGTCTCCTCTGTGCTGCTTTTCCGAACTACTTGTAAACAACCAAAGAATATGAAGCTGAGTCTGGGACCTCCATCTTGGGAGGTTGGCAGCCAGAAGGTTCCATGGTGCTGGTGGCTTTGGAAAACTCTTGATGGCTGCCTTTCTTGGGACACTTGTAAAGATGGGAACAGAATTAAAGGTTGTTGGATTTCAGTCTGTGGTGATGGCAGGGGAGGCGTTTCTTATAGGAACAATGAGGATCAGGATTTAAGGCAGGGAGCGCCAAACATGGCAACTTTAAGACTTCTGGCCTTCAACTCCCAGAATCCCCCAGTCAGCCTTTAAGACTTGTGGTCTTCAACTCCCAGAATCCCCCAGTCAGCCTTTGAGACTTGTGGCCTTCAACTCCCAGAATCCCCCAGTCTGTCTTTAAGACTTCTGGCCTTCAACTCCCAGAATCCCCCAGTCAGCCTTTAAGCCTTGTGGCCTTCAACTCCCAGAATTCCCCAGTCAGCCTTTAAGACTTCTGGCCTTCAACTCCCAGAATCCCCCAGTCAGCCTTTAAGACTTCTGGCCTTCAACTCCCAGAATCCCCCAGTCAGCCTTTAAGACTTCTGGCCTTCCACTCCCAGAATCCCCCAGTCAGCCTTTAAGACTTCTGGCC